GGATTAAAATAATTTATTTGCGCATTTTATGTGTGTTTGTTCTGATGTGCAAATACCTCTTACTTGTATCATCGTGTAATGTAGTCTTTAGTTTCAGATAAACAACAAACAGAGACGTGAATGAGTGTAAGCTGTTTCCTGTGCTCTCAGTGGCTCTGAGCCGTTTCCAGGACGACGCCCCCTCCTCACACTGTACGTGAGTACTGATTGGTCGGTGGGGAGCACGTACGCTACGCACGCAGCGTCAAATCATAGCCGACCATGGCGGAATGTGGTGGAGTTGACAGCAACCCAAGTAGTCACACCATGGATAAAAGCATTACTCTTCCGCCCGACGAAATATTCCGCAATTTGGAGAACGCAAAGCGCTTCGCAATAGACATAGGTACCTGAGTATTCAAAAGTTTTCTGTCTTACTTCCGTCACTTTTGCACCAACGCAGCTAATCTTCGTGCTCTGCCGCAGCCTCACATTCTGACAACACATGACTTTCAGTGAAAGTAAACAACACGAAGCTAACGTTAGCCGCTTAAATTCTAATGTTAAATGGATCTGACTGTAAGTGTGTTCGGTGTGAAGATTTTCTGTCTCATTAAGCGGATGTGTGCCGAACATGACCTGGTCAACTTTGACAAGTGCAGCAGCCTTGACGTTAGCCGCTAGCTACCTTGTGTGAAGGTTTTGTCGTCTCTGTTAAGCTAATGCCACAATTTGACACCTGACTGAGTGTTTTAAGTGTTGGTCTTAGTCCAGGCTGCCTCACGGATTTGTTGTCCGACATTATCGACGCTGTTTTGCTTTATCAGGTGGATCTCTGACCAAGCTTGCCTACTACTCAACTGTGCAACACAAAGTGGCCAAAGTGCGATCTTTCGACCACACTGCAAAGGTACAGAAACGCTTAAAAGCTGCACTAGCAGGAAAATGTACATGTTTTACTCTATTTCAGCATGTCCCAGCTTGACTTATTGAAGCATTCACACATTTCACTTTCTGTCTGATGTTCATTCCAGGAGGCTGCCAGTGACAAGCTGTATGAAATATCAGTGCAGGAGGAAGTCACTGCACGCCTGCACTTCATCAAGTTTGAAAATGCTTACATTGAAACGTGCTTGGACTTCATCAAAGACCATCTGGTCAACACTGACACCAAAGTTATCAAAGCCACAGGTGGAGGGGCACACAAGTTCAAAGAACTGATTGAGAGAAAACTGGGACTCAAGTGAGTAAATGAAAAATCTAAAACTGTGTTGTATCAATTAGCTTTTTGTCTGCATGTGCAAATGAACGGAAAGGGAGGTAAGTTTCTGTCATGTTCTGGGTGGCTAAGTTAAACAATAGTCCCCCTGTAAATGATCCACACACAAAGCTGTATTAGGCGCTCTTCCTGTAAGGTGCAGGACAAATACATTTTTAGGAGAGAGCTTTGGGAGACCTAATGAAGACCTTTTCTGGAAAATATGTGCTATTTACTAACTTGCCAGCTTTGTTGGCTAACCATACATGTGGAAACAAAAGCATTCACATTGCATAGATACTTTTGTCTGCATCCACACAATACTGAGAACAATATACAGTATAGGCAGTTTTTTTCAGTATTCCCAGTTTGTCTCGTAATTCAACTCAGATAAAGGGGAAATGGTTTGTAAAGTCAGCTGGTATTTGGAATTATAGCCTGCCTGTGTTGATCTTAACACTCATGACTGCAGGTGCTAAATGCATCAGAAAAACAGTGTAAATGCCTACTAAGATTGTAGAAAGGAGATTGATGTACCAGATGGAAAACAAAACAATTAGCCTTCTGCCTTCTGCTAATGCCGTCTTCATGTGTTGCATTTTGGCAGAGTGGACAAAGAAGATGAGATGACCTGCCTCATTAAGGGCTGTAATTTTGTGCTGAAGAATATACCCCATGAAGCTTTCGTGTATGCCAAGCATGCCGACTCAGAGTTCCGCTTTCAGACGACTAATCCAGACATCTTCCCTTACCTGCTTGTGAACATCGGCTCTGGAGTGTCCATAGTTAAGGTAATACCTGATATTCAAAGTTTCATCTGTTGTTCAGGGATGCAGGATTTTTTTATTTTATATTTTTAATATCTGAAAGTTTTAATTGCTTTGCTTTATTTCAGATATATTTGTATTAGCAATGTTATTGGTCAACCTAGAACGAAATTTATGAAAAATAGAGTTTTTGCAGAAAAAAGCTGAAGTCAATTTGTAAACAGTGGCATCATTGCAAAGTCTATGCAGCACTGTTTGTTGTTTATACGCATACAGCTCAGTTGGCAGAATGACTTATCACAACCTGTAAAGATTATGTTCATTGTTTAAGTTTGAAAATACCTCTTGTCTGTATTTTTGTTGCAAATTTTGCTGACAGCCAGCATTACAGACTGTAGACAAATAGTAGGGTTTGTCTTTAGTGTGTAGCTCAGTGGGTTAACACACTTGCGCCTTTAAATAAACAGTGACTTTGAGTTATGTTTTGGTTTTATAAAATGTGAAGCTCAGATGGCCTCTCTGAGTGACAGTTAAAATGCAATATGTGTTTCGAAGCAAATTTATCTCATTACTGATGTCTCGGAGTTTACAGATTATTTTCATTTGTATGAATCAGCTTCTTCACGTGATTCACAATACAACATCTGGTTCTTCCCCTCCTCAGGTTGAATCAGAGGACAAATTTGAGCGAATAGGAGGAAGTTCGATAGGTGGAGGGACGTTCTGGGGCCTTGGAGCCTTGCTCACTAAAACAAAGGTATTTTAAATAACATGGGTTTTTACAGGCTAGCTTCTCAGTGCAGTGGTCTTGAACTTTATCCTTTTTTCTCCTGTAGAGATTTGACGAGTTACTACAGTTGGCCTCAAAAGGGCAGCATACAAGTGTCGATATGCTTGTCAAAGATATCTACGGAGGATCTTATGGGTATTTGGGCTTGACTGGAGATCTTATTGCGAGCAGTTTTGGGAAGTCTGCTACTGCTGACAAAGGTGATGCATGGGCATACTGATTTTATGTAGATGACCTGTAGTGCTGTTTTAGTGTACATTTGGGTTAGTAGAACTGAAGTGTAGGTTTATTTTGTGTCTTTATTTGCAGTTTATTCAGTTATTGCAACAAAGCTAAACCCTACATTAAAATCTGTCATTTTAGTATCAAACACTCAGTTTTTGTGGACTTGAAAGGTGGCAGTAGAATGTTAGTGGCTTGATCCTTGCTTCCTTTCTTGCTCTGAAGGGTAGCAGCTACAGGCAGGATGGATTCATGGTGGGTAAAATGTATTCCAATGGTGACCCAGTTTCGAAGTGTAAAGAATTTCCATTGAAAATCAGGCCACTCCAATCTACTTTTCTGCTGGCTGTGTCCTTGGAATATTCCAGTCAGACTGTTTTTTTTTTTCAAAATATATAGCAAAATTAACTTGTCCTATTTTAATATTCACACATCACATCACTGTTGGAACCCACCGTAACCTGTAAAGATCAAAGGATGGATTATAGCTTTAAGCAAATAAAGTTAAAGGATGTCATGTAGATACACATTTTTGTTGTGCTTGTGCTCTAACAAGGCAGTTTTGGTATTTCTGATGTTATTGCACAAATTGTGCTAAAGCAAACTGAGCAACCTTTCACCCAGCGCTGCATTTCTAACCGTTATGAAGCAATGGCACCAGTCCAGAGAAATCAACAGCCTTTGTTGGCTTCATGGAATAAAGTAGTAGGTTGTACATTTTGAAATTAAAAATGTGGAACGTGATTTTAATGCAATTTTGTGGATGATACAAACCTGTCGTAATGCAAGTTGATTCACTTAGAAATGGCTTACTTTGATAATTATTGGTAGTATTTTCTCTTTATGGACATGTAACTTAAATTTGGTATTTTCTGAATTGTAGAGTTTTCTAAAGAAGACATGGCCAAGAGTTTACTACATATGATCAGCAACGACATCGGGCAGCTGGCCTGTCTGTATGCCAAGCTCCACAACCTGTCAAGAGTGTACTTTGGAGGCTTCTTCATTAGAGGACACCCGGTTACCATGCACACCATCACCTACAGCATCAACTTCTTTACCAAGGCAAGCCAACTTCCTTTGCAGACCCACAAACTTTGCAAGATTACCTCAGGGTTGTTTTTTTTGTTTTGTTTGTTTTTTAATCCCTCTGTGTGTTGTAGTCTTGGTTTGTTGTTGTCTGAACTTAATGTTCTAACCCCAAACCAGATTTTTACCCCCCTGTGTTTTGTTGTTGTAGGGTGAAGTTCAGGCCTTGTTCCTAAGACACGAAGGCTATCTTGGAGCCATTGGAGCATTTCTTAAAGGAGCAGAGGAAGACAGTAAGAAAATAACAAAACAACAAATATTTATTATAATTTTCACACCTATTATGCAAACGCTAACTCACACACAAGGGCTAACTCGAAACCTGTAGTACTACAACAAGCAGATTCTTATAGAAAGATTTCACATCGGGAATGAATCAAATCCCTGGACTTCAGTTGCAGAACTACTTCACAGGCTGTTGACAATGTCATTACAATGTCAAAATATTACAAATTCCATAATATGATGGCTAACTTTGCAAGAGAAGTGTATAAATGCTGACCTTCTATGATAATAAAATGTACTATAATGCAAATTTTGTACCATGAATGTGTCATAATTGTCTTTTTGTCTCCTCAAGATCCAAACCAGTACAGTTGGGGTGAAAACTATGCGGGAAGCTCAGGCCTCATGAGTGTTTCTCCAGATATGAATCCCATGCAACGTGCTCGTAGTGGAACGGTGAGTCTACAGCAGAAGTAAATCTAAAGATCTGATAGGAAATGGTCTGTTTACAGGCTGCTGATGGGTCATTGATTTTTATTCTTTCCATCTTCTTTCATCAATTTCTTGCAATTCTTACATTTGAGCTTTATTTTATGTTTTTATTTTTGATCTTCTGTTGTGGAAATAGCATCACCTTTGTCCTCACTGAATCCATACAGTCACCAAAAGATATTCGCCGCATCAATCTTTGCAGACTGACAATCTTTCTTTTCATTTCCTCTCCACACATTCCTCTGTCTACCTAACTCTCTCCTTCAGTTTCCCGTAAGTACCTCCGCCTGTTTCACTTGTCTGATCTGGTTTGATGACACATTGCTTCTGCTCACAGTGCCTTGTTGTGTAGCTTTAAATGCTCAACTTAAGTGTTAAGGTATGATAGGTGTTCACGTCAGTCTTCACTTGGACAAGAGAGACCGGAGAGCCTGCTGCTGTGTTCTTCCTTACTAAATTATTATTTGGACAAACTGTGTTATATGACAATAGAAAATGACAGTTTTTGATGTTTTTGACCATCAATAACAGTGTGCACTTTGCTGCTTGGTTCCTTGGTGTGATACTTTGAGCATGTAGGTCTCTGTAGAACATTCGTAGGTGTTAACATCCAGTATTAGATCCTTAAACTACTCAAACTAATGCTCCCTTCACCCAACTTCCATTCACTAGTTTTCATTAGTGCAAACTGGCAACATCGGACACTCCACTGCAAATTAAATATGAGCTCATTTTTATTCTTCTTGCTACCCAAGAAACAGTTCATAGATGTAATACGTTCTTTCAAAGGTACTGACTTTGTTTGATGGACTATTGATTGTGTGTCCAACTAATGAGTCCTCGGACTCCCACTGGCTTTTAAGATTAAATCCTGCTTCAACATTCCTTCCTGTTTCGTCTTTACCGCATCTCTCTCAACTTTCTTTTGTCTCAATAAAGAAAAAAAAAACGAACATTAGTGAAAACTGCCACTGTGCTAAGAGAAAGGGAAGTATTCTGAAATACATCCTAGACAACAGGAATAGGCTTTGATTTGAAGAGCTGAAAGAGGCATCAAGCTGCATGAGTTTACAGACAAGACTGACAGCATGAATCTCTTCTTTCTCTTTGTTGTGTCTAGTTTGACATGCTGGAGATGGACCGTCTGGAGAGGCAGCTGATGAATCTGCCTCTGCTGCAAGACCCTTCTTCTTACATCCCTGACACTGTGGACCTCACAGAGGATGCTCTGGCCCGTGAATACTGGCTCGACTGTTTTGAAGAGGCCCTAGATGGGGTAAAATGTCACAGCAGCTACTGTTGCAGGATCTGAAATGAATTCACACCATGATGTTAATGCCAGAAAAAATACTAATGTAAAAGAAAGGAGAAAAAAAAAATTTGACAAAAAACTAATTTGATTAAGTTGGAAGTTTTCCATTGTATTGCTTTTCAGCACTGAATCCTAGTCAATTTAATTTGGCTTTTTGGACAAGAATTCACACAAGAAGGACTCCATCATGTCAAAGTAAAGACATTTTAACATGGTTTGAAGACAACAAGGTGAATGTTTTGGAGTGGCTGAGTCAGAGCCGAGACCTCAATCCAATTGAGACTTTGTCGCTGGACTAGAAAAGGGCTGTTTACTCAAGATCCATATACAACCTGGCAGAGCTTGAGCAGTTTTGCAAAGACGAATGTGGAAAAATTGTAGTGTCTTTGTAGCATTCTGTTTTCACTCTGAAATTTAAGAACCTTTTTGTAAATACTTATCAAAAAAGCAAGCATTGTATTGACCATCATTTCAGGTTGAAAAGAAATAAAAGGAGAAATCTAAGAGGCTGAATGCTTTGTACAGACGCTGCATCTGCCTCCTTTACTATAGCTTTGTAGCATTTTAGCTCAGTGGTTATAACACAACTGAGTACTGTTCTTGTTTCCTTGAGCAGGTGGTTAAGAGAGCTGTAGCGAGCCAGCCTGACATGCCGGAGGCAGCCCTGCGAGCAGAGAAGTTTCGTCAGAAATATAGACACAAGCTTCAGACCCTCCGCAACCAGCCATTGTAAGGACTGTTATTAGATTTGCATGCATTTGACCAAGAGGTTGCTTTTAGTCTAACTAAAACTCTTTTCTTTGTCGTCTGCATTAGTTTTATGTCTTCATACCTGCTGTAACTGCCCACGTGCTTTGTCATCAAAATAAGAGAAATCTTGATGTTAATTCTGTTTACTGTGTCAGTTTTTAGGAACAGGATGCACTAAGTAAGTGTGTGTCAGTGGTATTAATTGTGTTAGTTATTTAGCAAAATAGTCAGCATTCTTATCCCAATGATAGATATGTTGACTATCTTTGAGATTCAACACAAAATTCAGGAGATGGAAAAAAAACAACCTTCCCAGTTAGCGTCAGGTCTCATCACAACATTCTAATAATTCAGTCAAGATCAAAAACGAGGAAAAAGACAAAAGTCAAAAGTGCATTGCATTTTACCATCCCAGCCCCGTTTGTGTGTATGTGTTTCTCTCTGGCTAATGTAGAGTGCTTCTCTTCTTACCTAGTGCTTATGGATCCCTCACTGTCAGAAGTCTCTTAGACACGAGGGAACACTGTTTAAACGAGTTCAACTTTCCTGATCCCTACTCTAAGGTCTGAGTGAAATCTATCAAATCTGTTGTTTTCCTTTTTATGTTCTTTTCTTGTGCTACACAGCTGGATTGGCTTTCACCGATCCGTTTTGTGACTTTGTAGCCATTTTGTGTTTCCCTGCAGTCTCATGGTGACACACCGTTTGTTTCCACCTGTTAAATATAGGCATTAGTTGGGTCGTAAACATACTCTCATGTTTTGTTTTTTATCACATCTTTTTTCCTTTTTAAATGTGGCTAGGTAGTCAGTCCTTTATGCAGTTTGAACTATCAACAGTATCATTTTTCTTTCATGTTTCAGATTAAACAGAGGGAGAATGATGTTGCTCTCAAGTATTACCAAAAGGCAGTGAAGTCCTTGGAGGAGTTGAGCTGGGAGGAGAGACAGTTTGCTCTTGTCAGGGGCGTCCTGGCGGGGAATGTCTTTGACTGGGGAGCCAAGGCCGTGTCAGAGTGAGTGCAGTTAACTGTTGTTATACTCTGTGAGCAGCCTGCTTGCTAACTTGATTTGTTCTGGCTAAATGTGGGTAGTAGGAAAGACTTACTTGTTTCATGTTGATGCAGCTTTGCTTGGGGAAGTTTTTAGCTGCTTTGATAGCACCTTTAGCAGTGCTGCAATGTTTAATAACTACCCTGTGTTATGTAACTTTCTAATATTTCAGTAAAGGGAATAAATATGAGCAGAAACAATGAAAGTATCTAGGTGCTGGCAAGTAAAAATGAAAATACCTGGGCCCAGTGTCTTTTTAAAGATTTAATTTCTGTTGCTGTTTGACAGTAGGTGATTACTGAAAGGTCAGCTTGGCCTAGCTTTTCCTGGCCAGATCATATCGTTAACTGTCTAAGCACATTATTAGGATTGGTTTAAGTACCGACAGCACCTATTCATGCTTGCAGGCCAGTCTGCAGTAGCTCTTAAAGGTACAAAACATTTTTGTCCCAAAGTTTGGAAAGTTGTGCTTTTGCTTTGTAGACTGTGACTCTTTTGTATCTTCCCTATGTTTGTACGATCTCACTTGTCTTATTTTGTCTTCATATGTTTAGCGTCCTGGAATCGGACCCTGAGTTTGGATTTGAGCAAGCGAAACGACAACTGGAAGGTATCCAAGTGCTTCCCTTTAACACTGTCTACACAGCAGCTGTTTTGTGAGCCGCATGTTTGCAGAGCAGCAGCTTCAGTGCTCCGTCTGTCTCTGCTCAGGATGCACAGTGTTGCCTTTCAGCAGTTGACCTACAGAAGATTTGAAACATAAAACACACTTTGGGTGTGTATTAATGTGGAAGTAAACCGTTTATATGCGGCCTGTGTGGGCAGTAGGATTTTTTAAGATAGAAAGGTATCTGTTCTGTTATACTTGTGTTGAGATGCCAATTTCTATGCCAGTATACCCAGTAACATTGGCTGTTTAACCATTTGATATACTGACAGATGCCAGTGTGCTTCTCTGCTTTCACCTCTTTTTATGTCTTTTTTGAACATTAATGTGTACAGAGAAAATTATCAAATGTGTGGATTTTAAATACTTTTAATACCTAAGCTGACTGAGTGTTTTTCCCCTCTCAGAGCGGCCATGGCTTGTTGATTCCTATGACCAGTGGCTCGAGAGACTAAAGGTCAGGCGCTCTCTGTTGTCTGCAGCGCTTCAAAATAACACGAACACACACACACACACACACACACACACACACACACACAGTGTTTAGCACAGTGTGACTCCCAGAGGGAAGCAAACATATAAGGCTTGCTTGTCAGATTTTCAGATGTTAGCACCGGGCCCCATTTTTGACTAAGCACATAGAAACAATACCTTTTGAGTGCTCTACAACATACTTGTGTTTCTGTGTTCTGTGCGCTTGATGATTAATGCTTGAATGCATCATCCTGGTTTTTCTCTTGCAGGGTCCCCCTCATAAGTGTGCCTTGTTTTTCGTAGATAATAGTGGAGTTGACATCATTCTAGGGGTGATGCCTTTTGTCAGAGAGCTTCTCTCTCGAGGAACAGAGGTTAGGAACTGACAACATGGTTACAAAAGTACAACATTTGATAAAATGTTACCTAAACTTTCTCATGTTTCTACCTTTTAGGTTGTGTTGGCCAGCAATTCTGGTCCAGCGTTGAACGACGTAACAAATGGAGAACTGCAAATATTAACTGAAAGAATTGCTGCTATGGATCCTGTGATTCAGTGAGTGTATATAGGTCATTTTAAATGTGATTTAATGTTGAGAAGACAAACTGAAGAAGGCATAGAGGTTTATTCTGAAACCAGATGCAGAGAAACTAACAACAAACTGTAAATCAAAAATGAACCTGTACAAAGACTACACAGTCTCATGAGTGGTTAGTCTCACGTTAGTAGCAACAACTTGACTTGTTAGCAGTCAAGCTTTTTATTGAATAAGGTGCAACAAGTTATTTTTAAGATATTTCTAATACCGTATACAAAAATCAATGACTTGTCTCTTTTTGTGTGTGTGTAGGGCTAGTCTGAGCGAGGACAGGTTGACATTGGTCCAAAGCGGTTCCAGTTCTCCCTGTCTGGATCTGAGGTTTGTGGTTTTCATTTTTAATTACATTTATTTATTTCATATTAAATTCATACATTTTTCACTGAATATTGACAGAGGCTAAGACCTTTTCTTATTTTGAAAATGCACACTTGAGCCGTTTTCTTAGAAAAAGAGCTCTGTAGCCCTTTTACATATGTAGCACACATTAGGATATTGTTGCTATCAGACGTGTTCTCACTACTGAAAATATGTGGTTAGATTCAGGCCATTGGGAATGCAAAAACTATCCTTCAGTCATATAGTTGGTTTATGACTTGGTCATAAACCACTGAGTCTTTGAACAATTTTGGCATCTGCCCTTAAAAACGAAAGTTTGCAAGTCTTGTCTTTGCAGTTAGACATTTTTTGTCTTTGTTTAAATTGCCTGTCATCTTCACAGATGTTTGAATTCTTCTGATTTTGTACTAGCCTTGTGACAGACACGTTAATATTACACCCACTCGCTCGCTGTGAATTTTCCAGTCATTAACCTGCTCTCTTCACACACAGGCCTAATCAGATATTACACAGACTTTGAACTATAGAGCTGGCAGGGTAAAGTCCGTTTAATCTCCAATCCAGCTGACTCAGACATTGTGGTTCTCATGAACAGCTCCTCCAGGTAGGTTCAGAGCTGCAGTGCATCTGTGAAAGCAGCTGTAGTGAGGTGTTGAGCAGGGCAAGTGTCACAGCACAAAAATGTAAAAGTTTACACACAGAACAACTCTTGAGTAACAGTACTGTATACAGGAAAATCAAACCTGTTTGTCGGAATCAGAAACTTATGTAATAATAACAGCCTTGTCTTTTTTAATCTTTTATTCTGTGCAATAACAATTTCCATCCATAACAATGTAATGCTTTCCTTCAAGGGAGAGTAGATTGCAGGCAGGACATTTAAGGCTTTGAAAGGCCGAAAATGTGGAAATGTGGCAAAATTTGCATGATAGCAATGCAGTTGTACAAGTTGTTGGAAGTCAGAGAAATAAATCTGCATGTGTCTTTGACCAGTGCCAGTTAACTAATCCGAGCAAATGCCAGAGCAGGTTTCATGCCAACTGTACGTTTTGATGGTGGGATGTAAACGTCAGTAGCTACTGAGTGGGAAGAGGAAGACAAAACAAATAAATCCCCCTGTGCCAACAAGACATCAGCTAAGAGAGTTATGCTGAATGAATGAGTTGAAATTAAATCAATTCAGTCTGATTATCAGGAAAAGAAACCTCACTCCCTTTTGAATAACATATGTGTTTTAGTGCAGCAGAATTGATCTTCAGTGTTTTATCCTGCCTTTGTTGTTCCACAGCCGCCTGGACAAAGTGCTGGCAATGGTGGCTCGGGAGCGGCAGACCGACCTGGTGATCATCGAGGGAATGGGCCGAGCCATTCACACCAACTACTACGCCATGCTCAGCTGTGAGAGCCTCAAGATGGCCGTCATCAAAAATTCGTGGCTGGCCGACCGACTGGGAGGAAAGCTCTTCAGCGTGGTTTTCAAGTACGAGGTACCAGCTGGAAAACCCGGTCAGGACTCTGCTGCATTGACACCCTCATGAGTGCGACAAAACTCATGTTTGAGGGAGACAGAACACTGAATTCGAGCGACCAGCTTGGTTTAGTTGGAGGTCCGAATGTAAGACGATGATCATATAACTGCCACTGAAAGAATGAGTGATTGTAACTTTGACTGTTAAAGGTTGGATCAGTTTTTAAGGGTGATCATTAATAGGGGAGATTTTACATTTTATTTTTAAACTATGTTGATTTCACTGTCTGTTTCATGAACATGCTTTTTGGAAGGTCATTGTCTAATCTCTGGTTCAATCACTTGGTTTGCCACAATCATTACTGTCACCTGATGATCTGATTCACCACGCTGGATATGGGTGTGCGCTGGGTATTTCATGTGAAGTGAAGTCATCACTGGCTGCATTCAGTAAACTTTAACAGATGCGATCTTAAGCTTGTAGAAAAACAAATCAGAAACTAAGCTTTTATTTTAAAAGTGGGCTTCAGTTGTTGACACACTGCCAATGCGACTGTGCACACATATGGGGGGTGGACGACTGTGGCTGGTGTGTGTTTGTGTGTGGGAGAGAAAAAGAGCTGCAGGAGTAATTACAGCTTACAGCGATAAGACTTTTTACATTCAGTAAAGGGTATTTAATGTGCCTTAAGGCTGATGATATGATGACAGGCATCATTCACTCAGATTGCTTTTAATTCCTGTCGACCGCTACAATACTACACAGATATCTGCTTTCTAGCACTCTCATGCCACAGACTTGAAAGATTCCGTAGATTTCTTGTTTTTCATTACTGCCAGCGAATGTATTGAGATTAAAAAATGAGTCATTGTCACCGTCACTTGTGTAGCTGTTGAAGTGGAATCAGGGAAGATGTTTCATCAGTGGGAGAAGCAGCACTTTATCACCGTGATTAAAGAAATGGGGTTCATCCACAAGGTGGCAGTGTTCTACTGTGATGTAGATTTTAAATATTTTACTCAAATCTCTCCCAAGGTGCTTGGTGTCAAAATTAACACTGCATATATCAGGATAAATATTCTGTTAGCATCACACAGAGCTAGAGCGTCCCGAGCTGGCCATGGCATGAGTCCATGCATTCACTGTAGTTAACTGGCATGTACAAATACACACTGTAATCCATCCCTACGTCACAAATGCAATTGTTTGAAGGCAATAATACTGCAGCACCTAGTTGTAACAAACATCAAACACTGTGTGATTGTGAAGTGGCTGACTGTATTGGTAACGTCATCATTAATATCTGAATTCAAGGTGGGGTCAGATTTGAAAAGCCTTGGTGTGACAATATCTTGCAAAGTTACAGTTGCTTCACTTGTGGACTCATTGCAATATTTTATTTTTCATTTGTACATATGTGTGAGAAATATATATATACATATATATATATATAAAATTCAGTTGCATCCCTTCAGTTAAGCACACCAAGCACACTTTTGTGTATTATTCTCCTGACAATCAATTTTAATTAAATGGTACAAAACCTTTATTTTATCCCTCTGTGTGTTTGTGTTTCTTTCTCTTGGTGGATGTGTCAGGAGAGTTTCAGTAGAGAAATAAGAAGAGTTGCCCCATATTAAAAAATCCCAACCTGCCCCTGGCAGTATAAAAGCTCGACACCCTGGTATGTGGTGGTTGATGCCTGCTGGGGAGCTGCGAGCTGATAATGCATGAGGAGGCCTGGCAGGGGGTCCTCCTGCTTTTGCTCTCGCTCATCACTCCGGCTGCCAAAACACACACACACACACACACACCAGCTCTGCAACATGCCCTCGCGGATTTAGCGACATGTGCTTATGAAGTATGTAAGATCTGCTGTGGTTTTGTTTTTGTAGGTTCTTTTGTTATTTTATATTTTCCAGCGTGGACAGCAGTGTTTCTGTCCAGCATCAGTCAACTCAGACTGATCATGAATCAACGAGCACCTCATCTCTCCTGCAAAAGACCAAGACATCCAGACTAGAGGTGAGAACATTGATCACCAAAGTCGATACTGATTCAAAGTCTTGTTCTGAGTGCCGATATTGATGTGACTGATGGCGAAAAATGGAGCTGTCACATGTCGGATCAAATCCTGGCTGTACGCTTGCTGCAGCATTTGCGTCTGTGCTGCTGCTGCCAGTTGCACGTGTGCACCACACATTATGAACATTTGTTTCTTTCCACTTGTGATTAAACATGCATGCGATTAAGTCATTAACAGAAAACAGTAAAAAGAAATGTCTCATGTTTTGCAAATGATCTGGTGGTAATTAAAACATATTCAGAAGTAACCTATTAATACTGCATTCATTTCATAAATCATGACATATTTCTTACTGTTACATGATTCCCCGCTTTTAACAAAAGCATCAGCATAAGTATCGACGCTGATTATCCTGAGAATGCTGTTACTTTGCATCAGATCGAAACCTCATTTTGTGGTATTGTCCACCTCTAATCCAAACTCATTTGTAGCCATTTTGCACCTCTTTTAGTGACATTTGGCCGCTCTCCAGATTTGCTGTTGGTTCAAAACCTCTTTTGGACAGAATCCTTAAGCATTCTACCTGCTTTTCACTGTTTTTATGGTATTTTAAAGAAATGCCACTGCAGTCTCAGTATGCTGTGCAGCTGTAATATATTGGATTGGATTTGATAAACAATATCAACAGTCTGATCAGGACCAGCAGGACAAAATCACAGTCAGGACATCCTTATTTCAAACTAAGCTCTGTGACTTTTCAACCAGAATTGCTTAAAACCGCTGCAAATGTAGGCTCTGGCCCAAGAAGCTCCAAGGACTCTATTTCTTTACCAGATAGGCTCGTTTGGGTGCACGTATGCAAAAGAAATTCCCAGGTTTTGCGCTAAACAAACAGAAAGATCTCAGCAAGATTGATTCAAGGCCTCAAGATGATGGTGATGAACAGGTTTCAAGGACGTGACAAGTAGGAAGTCCTTGCACAAGATATACCTGTTTATTAAAACTAAATGAAAAATTCCAAGTGGAATCTGGTTTTATTCAGTTATGTGCTGATGGTTCCTGCTTAAATACTGGCGATGAAGTAATTAACAAAACATACAGCAACAATGACCAAAAAGGGGAAGGCTGAAGCCAGATCTTCTTGTGCCGACTTACAATATACACATTGTACAAAAATAAACAAGTCACCCTCAGGATCAATATTTCTGATTCTGATGAAGTCCACATGTACAAGTAGAAGTTAGAGATGATGAACATAGTGAATAATATACCTGCAAAACATCAACATGCTAACATGCTGATGGTAGAATTTAACCCAAACAGAGCTGCTGCATCACTGCTGACTCTTTTTTTTTTTGCAGTTAAACTCGCCTAGACTGGTATAAACTGTACATGCACTTGTGTGAGATGTTAACAGTTACATTTTTCAGTCACTCATCGTTGATTTGTCCCTAACAGCAAGCTGGATCGATTCTGTGTAAACTGTTCTGAATGCCCAAGGATGATTTCAGTAGACTTGTTTCTGAAGCTGCAGAGGAACAGAGCATTCGTTGCATGTTTTTGTTTTTTTGTGTGTTTTTTTTCACTGTATAACTTTCTAATTATAGTCAAGGTTCCTAACACACAGAGACCAAAGGCCCTGAGAGAACAGTGCAGCATTGACTGTAACTGTTTGCATAACACTAATTACTGTAGTTACAGTAAACAACCATTTCAAAAGACGTTTTTTCTTGAGCTTTGATTTCAACACACTGTAGCTGAACCTTTTGTTACTTGGAGTAACAATAACACCAATTTAATTTATCAGGTCCTCCTGAAACATACAATGCGAAACTGTGTGCGTCACCACCGCTCCGGTACGTGTAAATACATGATGTCTTCATGATGTCTCCTGTGCTTTTTGTAATAACATTTTCCAGATCTGGGTGACTTTGGTCCCATATTATTTGCCACTGATGTATTCTCCTTTTGAGTTTAGTGCACATATGATAACATTAGCACATATTAACACATTACTGCTTTCCCACCTGTTTTTGTGAAAAATAATGTAACATTAAAACTGAAAACTTTCTTCCTCCAGAGAAAATAATCCCAGCATTATTGATCTTTTCTTTATTTTAGTGAGTCTAAATGAAATAACACCCACACACAACCATTTATGTTTTACGTCAAATTTCTGATTGTTTTGCGATAGTTTTCATGCATTCTCAATCAGACCACACAGTGTTAAAAAAAGAAGACTCAAGTTAATGTAAAATATATAGTTTATTGGTTACTATGATAACTATAGTAAAAATGTTAAGCCTCACCTTCATTTGTCATCCCATTTGTATGTGTATTTTCCCCCTAAGGCCTAAGCCCAAATATTAAGGTATATTCGTGTGTACTTTTTTGTATGAGCTGAAATACTTCACAGTCTCTCCAGATATCCTCCGGCAACTGCAGAGGTATCCCTGGAAGGGAATCACTACAACACTGAAACAAACAGCACCCCTCTGCATTTCCAGCGGAGAAAACCTAGAATACCTGCAGCTACAGTTCATCCTGACATCGCTGCAAAATTCAGACCTGAGAATATGACTTTGGAAAAAAAAAGCTTTTGATTCCAGTATGTGTGCCACAGACTCCCATCATGATCTCTAAAAAAGCCTTTTCTGTCTCGCAGGAGTTGCACAGGAGCTACAGGGGTCCCCATTCAAATGCCATCTTGTACTTTACAGAGCTCTTGACATCTTGCTCAAATGTGCCTGACATAGAGTGTAAGCATGCAGCAATACGGAAATCTCGGCCAAAAAGTTGTAATGTATTTTTATGCATCAAGAATACTTAGAATGCCAACTAACCTCCTTAAAAGTGTCACATACATTCTAAATACATGACTAAATAAGGAAACATGTTTTATATGTATATGACATGTGTAAATAAACCCAAAAGTGCATGTTTTATGCACAGTATATAGATTTTTTTCAGTATTAATGGACCCTCCACAAAGTAAGATGTCGAAGAACTCAATATTCATTTCTAAAGGCATTTTGAATTTCGGCTGTTATCTTCCTTTAGCAGACTCAGTCCCTTTGTGTTACACTCACACTTTACTGAGTGTCTTGTCACCATTGTTTGTATTCACACCAAATGAGAATAAAGATTGTTCGTTGGTTTCAATGAAGCTAACGAGCATTTTTCTGTGTGGACACACAAAACAAAATAGCGGACTATATTTCGAAATGTCAACCAATTCCCCAAAGTGATTTACACTTAATCATTCTGCAAATACGCAGCATTAAATGTGCCAACATGCAACCGGCTCAGTGTAGGTTTAGGATGAGTCTGGCTGGATGCTGTGCAGACTTTGTAACATGAGTTGTGACAGATGCAGTCACAGGGTTTCACTTCAGAGGAAATGAAAACTGGACTACTTACTTTGAAAACACATTTTGTACAGAGTGCAGTTATTTATTGTGACGTACACGTACAAACTGTTCAAATGTATTTTCCTTCACTTTCATTTAAGGTGTGACATATACCACATGAGCAAAAGTATGAGGACATGTAGATGCCCCCCCCCGTGGAACTTAAAATTCCCAAACTATGATCAGTAATCTGCTGCTTCAGCCACCTCCACCCTCCAAGAAAGGCGTCCCACTTGATTTCGGAAAGGATTTGCTCCCATTTAGCCACAAAGTGAGGTGGACCACTCATGTTGGGTTGGCTGTCTCATGTTTCATCACAAACATGTTGACATATATATGTCATAGGAGAGACTGCGATCTGGTAGAATATGAGATTTTACCGGTAGAGTCTCCGATTGCAATGATTGCAGTCTCTACCATGACATATACATCATCAGAGATTCTACTCGTAGAGATTGTCTGAAAAGGTTGTGAGATGTTAAATGTATCATTATGCTATCTTCTTGTCATTATTTGACATGTGAAAAATGAAACCTTTTCAGTATTTGTAAAGGAAAAAAAAAAAAAAATGCGTTATCAGTATTTGTAGCTTTGCACACAGTTATACCTAAATAAAATGGTTGTTTTGTTACTATGGTCACATATTCTTTGTGTTTTTGTTCCTGTATACAAGGTTTGCAATACCAATCGCAATTTCTACCAATCTTCAGATTTAGTAGAATTGAAGATTCTACCGGTAGAGATTGCAATCGGATATGGATTTTGAAATCCATATCAACATGCTGGGAAACAAAAACCTGCAGAGTCTAACTGGAACTAAAAGATGGACGCATGCTTAAAATCCACATTCTTGACATGACAATAACAGCCAGCAGGAGGCGACTGTTCGGCTGCTAAAAGAAGTCAGACCTCATAAAAGTCTATGAGAAAATGACCCGACCTCTCGCTTGATTTGTTACCTCACTAAACATTGTACTTATGAGTTTGTGGACTCAATACCTAGTTTCAAAACTTTAAATAAAGCATGGTGTTTATTTTGTAAATTATGGTTCCATTTTGAGTAAAATAAAGGATTAGGCAGAGTATGTTTTAGGGTGGAGCTCCATAGTGACTGACAG